TAGAGAGCGGTTGGGGCAGGCAAGGGACAGGGAGCAGGGACACTTAGGGGGTGGGGTCCTGGGGGGCAGTTAGGGTCGGGGGGGCGTCTCAGGAGAGGGCAGGTAGGGGACAGGTAGGGGGATTCTGAGGGAGGCGGGAAGTGGGAGGGGCGGGGCTAGGGCGGCACCCCGTGTCCTCTCTTTTGATTGATGAAATATGGTAACCCTAGCCAGGGGCAGGGTGTGGCAAATGTCTCCGCTCTGGCTCTCTAGGAGAAATCGTTTCCTGCTGCTTACTCAGCAATTTCCCTCTCTCTGCTGCTTCCGCTGCTGCTCCGGTCCAGTTCGGCTTGGCCAGCTGCTGGTAGAGAAAGCAGCATGGGGTGGGGAGGACAATATTGGGTGCTGGACCGCCTGAAGGAGTGTGAGTTGCCAAGATACAAATTTTCCCTGCGAAGATTTCCCCTGAAGGAGGGCTATGAACGCATCCCCTGGGGCAGGCTGAGACGGGCGGATTCCATCGAGCTCAGTGACCTGGTGAGCAGGTACTATGGGAAGCGCTATGGGAAGCAGGTGACCGAGAGGCTGCTGAGAGACATCAAGGGACCAAGCGCTGGTAAGGAACTAGCCAGGGAGAGATCAGACCCAAGGGGGGCCGGATTTGGTGCCCTGCCCTGCTCACACCCTCCCCGGTCAGTGCTGGTGCCCGATCCCAGCTAGAGTAAGAACCTTTCTCCTCCCATGGGACGCGCTGGGAGTTTGCAGGATAGAATCGGGCTATAGAAAGGGGGGTGGGGGGAGCGAAGCAATTCACTGCGATAACAAAGCCGGGAGCTTTCTGTTCTCATCGGTCAAATCCTAACACCGCCTCGCTCCTTGCTCAGGCAAACCTCCCATTGAGGTCGGTGGGGACCAGCTGGGAAATTCCTCCGGGCTCAGGCCCAGAGCTATCAAGCCACGTTTCCCCGCCATGGCCCAGGCTCCAGCTTTCACTTTCGTTTCTGTTCCCATCTCCCAGCTGGCCCGCAGCCTGTTTCCTTTGTTACCCGCCCTCGGCGGTGTGCAGAGCTGGTTTGCTCGGACTGAGTGTTAGATTTTGTTTTTACACCAGCAGAGACCAATCCAGGGCACAGCGCGGCGGGACCGGGATCCCAGCACTGGCTGAGTCTCTAACCCCAGTCAGGGAATCCCCCCCCCCCCCTTCCACCGCTCTCTGCTCAGCCATCTTAGAGCCGGGATTCAGCCCAGTGGCAAAGCAGATGCAGGGCCGGCCTTAGGGGAAATGATGCTCTGGGCGAACTTGTATTTTGGCGCCCCTGGCCCCCATGGGCAAGGCACGATCCCATTGTCCCTGGCCCCTGTGGGCTCCCCAGGCTCTCCTTCACTCCTAACCCCTGCACTCTGCCCCCTTTGCCCCCTATTGCGCCTCTAACCCCTGCACCTCCTCCTGCACCCCTGCCCTCTCCTGCGCCCATGTGGGGAAAGTGACCTGGATGCATGGAGCAGCTGGCATTGCTGTTCACTCCCCTGCCCCCCAACACTGCTCCTCTGCTCCTAGGGGTTGGGGGGAGGGGAGCAAAGAGCGACATCAGGGCTCCCAGCATCCAGGTCACTTTTCCCACCTGGGTTACGTAAGGGGAGGGCAGGAGAGCACAGCCCAGGTAGGGAAAGTGACCTGGATGCAGGGAGCCCTGATGTCTTCCCTTCCCCCACCCACAGCTCTCTAGGGGGGTGGAGAGGAATGCTGGGGAGGAGGGGGCCATGCAGTATCTGTGGCACCATTCACTCCCCCTATGTTCCTCCACCGGGAAGAAGCATGGAGAAATCTGGGTGCCCCCCGTCCTCCCCAGCTGGGAGTAGTTTCTGACACTACACCCCACAGTGGCCCCCCAACTATGGCGCAGCACCCTTGGGCAGTCGCCCACCCCTAAGGCTGGCCCTGAGCAGAAGAGGGGAAGAAGAGAGGAAGAAGAGACTCAGGAACCCAGAGAGAGAGAGAATGTGGGGACCTCCTGGGTCTGGGGGTGATGTCGTTCTGTAGAAACACACAGAGAGGGTTCTATGCAGGAGGCAGAGTCCTGACCCTTGACCTGAGCTCTGCACTGACCTCTAGCTCCCCTTTCTCTTTCACACGCACTGTCTCCTTGGTCTCTGCCACCGAGGGCAGTAGCCGGGAACAGGAGATAGAGGCATTTGCTAAGGCAAGAGCTGCTGTGAGTTATAAATCACCCAGGGATATTGACTCATAGTCATTTGTACACGTAAACCTAAGCATACCTGTCTGCAGAGGACTCAGCATCGAACACTTCCTGGTGTACTTCAACAAGTAGTGTGACCCATCACCTTTGCCTCATTATCTCTCTACACCCTGTTCCTGTAAGCATCCCAGTGTGATCTACTGCAGCTGGAGCACCCATGGGGGAAAATTGGTGGGTGCTCTGCACCCACCGGCAGCTCCCCGCCCCCCCACCCCAGCTCACCTCCACCTCCTCCCCTGAGCGCGCCGCTTCCCCCCCAGCTCCCAGTGCTTCCCAGCACAAAACAGCAGGAGGGGACAGAGTTGGGGCAGGGACTTTGGGGAAGGGGTTGGAATGGGGAGGGGCAGGGGTGGAGTCGGGGTGGGGGGGCACGAGCACCCACTGGCGCTGGGAAAAGTTGGCACCTATGCCTGTCACTACCGTCTTGATCTAAAAATCCAATAGGCTCCACTTCCCAGCCGCTGGATATCACCTGATCAAAAGCAGAAGTTAATCCCGACCCTGGAAATACGTTTCCCCAAACAACACCCCCCCAACCTCAAAAAAGAAAAGAAAAACACCTTCCGTGTAGGACAGGGGCTTGTGATGCTTTTGATATCATTTGCACAGATAACGTAGCCGTGAGTCAGCAACTCCAGCTTAGTAGTACATTACTGCCATATTATACAGGTGTAGATGACAACACAAGGTGCAGGGCAGCGGAGAATCAGGCCTATTATTATTTAGATCACGCCATAGGTGTGTGTGAAGTTTTACAAACAATCCCCCTGCTCCAAAGACTTTACATCTAAACAGGCAACGGGCAGATGCTGACTAGAGTTCATAAGCTTTACTGAAAGGGTGTGTTTTATGGTGGGAGTAGGGAGAACGAAATGCATGAGTTGCTGATTGTTGTCTTCTTATTCCAGCCGGTGCCCACACGGTGAGTGAGAGACATGGGGAAGTCATTCCCTACAAAAAGTTTTCCAGGAAAATTGCAGACAGAGAATGGAAAGTGGAAAATTCTACATACAAGGAGAGACCTTACAAATGTTCCATTTGTGGGAAAGGATTCAATCTGAAATTAAACCTTATTCGGCATCAGAGAATCCACACAGGAGAGAAACCCTACAAATGTGGTGAATGTGGGAAGAGCTTCAATGACAGCTCCAACCTCGCTCGACATGAGAGACTCCACCTGGGACTGAAGCCTTACAACTGTCCTGAGTGTGGGAAGAGCTTCAGTGTGAAATCAAACCTCATCCGCCATCAAAGAATCCACACAGGAGAGAAGCCCTATAATTGCCCCAAATGTGAGAAAAGTTTCAGTGACAGCTCCAACCTCGCTCGCCATCAGAGAATCCACACGGGAGAGAAGCCCTATAATTGCCCCAAATGTGGGAAAAGCTTTAATGACAGCTCCAGCCTCACTCGCCATCAGAGAATCCACACTAGAGAGAAACTCTACAAATGTGGTGAATGTGAGAAGAGCTTCAATGACAGATCCAACCTTGTCCGCCATCAGAGAATCCACACAGGAGAAAAGCCCTATATATGCTCCAAATGTGAGAAAAGCTTCAATGACAGATCCATCCTCACTCAACATGAGAGCCTCCACCTGGGACTAAAGCCTTACAAGTGTCCTGATTGTGGGAAGTGCTTCAGTGTGAAATCAAACCTCATCCGCCATCAGAGAATCCATACAGGAGAGAAACCCTATAATTGCCCCAAATGTGGGAAGAGCTTCAGTGACAGCTCCAACCTTGCAAAACATGAGAGAATCCACAAGAGTAAGAAATTTTTATATATGGGACCCGATTGGAAATTTTCCATCAGAATTATTTACGATTTTGCAGAAACTTCATTTTCTGTTGAAAAGATTCCATGGGAAATATTTTCAATTTGCTGATCATAGAATAACAGGGTTGGAAGGGACCTCAGGAGGTATCTAGTCCAACCGCCTGCTCAAAGCAGGACCAATCCCCAACTAAATCATCCCAGCCAGGGCTTTGTCAAGCCTGACCTTAAAAACCTCTAAGGAAGGAGATTCCACCACCTCCGTAGGTAACCCATTCCAGTGCTTCACCACCCTCCTAGTGAAATAGTGTTTCCTAATATCCAACCTAAACCTCCCCCACTGCAATTTGAGACCATTACTCCTCGTTCTGTCAACTGCTACCACTGAGAACAGTCTAGATCCAAACTCAGGTAGTTGAAAGCAGCTATCAAATCTCCCCTCATTCTTCTCTTCTGCAGACTAAACAATCCCAGTTCCTTCAGCCTCTCCTCATAACTCATGTGCTCCAGCCCCCTAATCATTTGTGTTGCCCTCCGTTGGACTCTTTCCAATTTTTCCACATCCTTCTTGTAGTGTGGGGCCCAAAACTGTATACAGTACTCCAGATGAGGCCTCACCAATGTTGAATAGAGGGGAATGATCACGTCCCTCGATCTGCTGGCAATGCCCCTACTTATACAGCCCCAAATGCCGTTAGCCTTCTTGGCAACAAGGGCACACTGTTGACTCATATCCAGCTTCTCATCCACCGTAACCCCTAGGTCCTTTTCTGCAGAACTGCTGCCTAGCCATTCGGTCCCTAGTCTGTAGCAGTGCATGGGATTCTTCCGTCCTAAGTGCAGGACTCTGCACTTATCTTTGTTGAACCTCATAAGATTTCTTTTGGCCCAATCCTCTAATTTGTCTAGGTCCCTCTGTATCCTATCCCTACCCTCCAGCGTGTCTACCACTCCTCCCAGTTTAGTGTCATCTGCAAACTTGCTGAGGGTGCAGTCCACGCCATCATATGTTTTGATTTTTCCATTGGGAAAATCGAAACAAAATATTTTGGTTTGGTTTGACCTAAATCAATATATTTTGGTTCGTAGAACTGACCCAAAATGTTTTGAGTCAGTTCAACATGAAGCTTTATTTCCTGGTTGTAGCACATTCCCTTAGTGGTAGCTCGGGCCCCCATTCATACTATAGTTTGGGCTCCCTGGCCAGACTACATCTCCCATGATACCACACCATCTTCCTGCTTATCCTGCAGCATGCTGCATTATGGGAGTCACATGGCTGCTGCATCATTCCAGATGCTTAGGGATCCCAGCCTAAAGGGCAAAATGAGGACATTAGATAACTAGTTTTAATGAATCAGTGCACCACCCCAGGGAAACGCAGTTTAACATTGAACTGACTCCAAACAAAGTGTTTTGGGTCAGTTCAACAAAGCAATATGAAACATTTTGATTCAGGAACGTTCACATGTTTAGTTTCCGTTGAAAATTCCAAAACAAAACGTTTCACTTTTTCTGAATCTCTACATTTTCAGAATTTGTTCTGCACAAAGTTATGCTGTTTCAATTTTTGTCCTGATTCAGGGTGAAAAAAAGTTGAAATGTTGGAAAGTCCCACTATTTTTTGTTCCACTCTATTATAGGGGGGGGATCCAAGGGTCTTGTCTACATGAACACTTAGTTTGCAGCAAGCTGGGATGTAAATCCATGTGGACCTGCTGCCATGCACTAAAAGTTCCCTAGTGTGCAGCAGCAGGGTCCAAAATGACACTCAGTGTGGGGTAGCTTTAAACCCTGATTTGCTGCGAAATAAGTGTTTGTTTAGGAAGTCTCAAACTAGAGTTTGGTCAGTATTTTTCAGATTTCAAAATTTTAATTTAAAAATTTACTCGCAATTTTAATGAGAGAAATTTTGGGAAATTTTTTTTGTCTCATAAACTAGCAAAAAATATGTTAAGAAAAAAACACCTTTTTTAAACTTAAAAAAAATTTAAGCAAGTTATTACTATTAGAATTGTGAAAGCACCTATAGGTGTCCAATCAGAGATCGGTCACTATAAGGCTGGTTGAAATGTGTCAGTTTCTAACAATTTTGAATTTTAATGAAGAAGCTGGAGGAAAATTCAGCCATTTTTGCAATTTTATTTTCCTGTTTTTTGACTGTCATCTGGATTCAAAATGACTGAATCAAAAAGGTTAAATCTAACTTGTATTGTAGATCTCACTGAGATCCAGACATCAATCCCAGTTTGAAAAAAACACCAGCTTCCTTTATAAAGTGCTATGAGATCTACTAAGGAAAAATGCTGTATTGCTCTTTCTCTCATCCATAGGACATTCCGGTCACATGGAAGTTCCTCATGATCAAATTTCCACTGAAGAACTGACATCAGCATCAGGTGAGTGAGCACAATTGCCCAGGGGGTTGGAACATGCCCCAGAGGAAATTCACTGCAGGGTTGGACAAAAACAGCTCCAGGCCTGGGTGTCACAACACTGTTGCTTCAAGGGCTTGGGCTAATATTCTAAAGTCCTTCTGGACTTTTCTCTAAGGAAGGTGCCACATGGTGCTGGGACTGGATCCATTTTCCCCAGCCTGGATTAGACATGGGCAGTGTCCTGGATTTCACTACCTCTGACTTCTTAAAATACCAGTTTTCAAGCTAATCACCTCCTCTTGTATGAGCGCAGAGCTAAGGTGATTTGGGGATATCTTCAAGTGACCCCACTAAGGTCAGCAGAGTTAGGACCAGGTTCTGATCTCAGTGACCCTGGGATTAGTCCATTTGGAGTCACTCCAGAATTGTATCAATGTACCTCAGATCAGAATCTAGCCCTGACTCCATTGTAAATCCAGAGTGACCCCACTGATGACACCAGGGTCACTGAGATCAGAATCTGGCTCAGATTGTTTGGAATTTTGTCAGTTTTCATTTTTCTTTTCAGGATTCACCAGTGAAGAGACTGAATCCGACTCTAGTTCTGCTGCAGGGATAAAGGCGGCAAGAGGTGGGTAGAGAAGAATAAAGCTCTGCTCCTCTTTATCTAACATACACACTGGCCCATTGCAGCTGACGCTGCTTCTGTCTTCACAGGACCAGTGGGGCCCCTGTTTGCTCTTTCTTCCTGACAATCACAATGCTATACAGGCGGGTAGCCTCAAAGTCCTGTTGATTCATGCTGTGCTTTCACTTCCTGTCCCAAGCTGCTATTTGTACAGCTGTTAGCCAGCTGCTGTGTCCCACCCCAGAGGTGGCTGCCCGTATATTCCTTGAAAGCATGGAAAGGGCTGGGGAAAGATGACAGTATGTTAATAATTCATCCCTCCCCAGGGATCATCTGCCAACAGACCCTCCTACCCTCCACTGGTTCTGTGGCAGGAGCTGCAGATAAGTGAGGTTAAAACTGACTGGGAGGGTGGAGAGGGGGTGGTTTGATGGGCTTTGCTCATGGTGGAGCAGAGAGCAACCAAACAGTCCCCTTGGCCTGTAGCTCTGACCATCCCCTGCTCAGACTCTGCCACTGCCCCTCACAACTACAT